AATTAAATAATTATAAAATAAAATAAAACAAAATAAAATAAAATATATAAAATCAAATAAAATAAAATAAAATAAAAATAAGTTAAAGTAAAATAGTGTTAAATAAAAAAAATAATTACAAAGTATATAAAATAAATAAATTTTGTTAAAATAAATAAAAAAATAAAATGAAATAGAATAAAGCAATATAAGTTAAAATGGGTTTTAAATAAAATAATTTAATGTCATAGTATAAGCAATAAATAAATAACTATATATAAATAATATATATAAAATATATTTTGGTTAAATAAAACAAAATATAAACCTTAACATAATGAAGAACGATTCAATGAATTTTAAATAAGAATAAATGAAATAAAAACTTAAACAAAGTGAGAAAATATTAAATTTTTTAAGTAAGAATATATAAAATAAGATAAATTAAAATAATTGAAAAAAATACAATAAACAAAAAAAATTAATTAAAATAGAGCATAATCCTGAAAAGCATTTCATCACTCTAGACGTTTTTACATGCTGACGACACTAAGGCTCTGATTATTTAAGATAAAGAATTTTCCAAATAATTCTCAAATTCTAATCCTAAACGCTTACATTTTCACAGTTAGGTGTGAAGTGTACATTTCAACGTAAACCTTAGGTAATCGTTTGCATTACTCGTAGAAATTTCTACGCAAAGTGTGTTTTCTTATCTTCTATCTTTTATATTTGCGCTTAAAGTTCTTGTTGACTCAAATTTGTCAAATGAATTTGTTAAAAAAAAAAACAAAGTAGATTTGTCATGCTAAGCTAGAGCAATATAATTAAGTAAATGGAACGGTGGGGAAAAGCGCAACCAAGAACATCACCACACCTTAATAGAACAAATTAATTTATTTTACTGAGCAACTTCACCGCAATTTGAACTCTTTACTACTTTGCTGGCTCAACTGTCTTTATTTTCGGCTTTCACGTCGATATATATGTGTGTACCACAAAGCGAAACTTTTGCACCTTCACTAATTTGCTTAAAATGCCATGAAATTATTGGGCGTTACACATAATCTATGCTCATTTCGTTTCTGTTGCGACAGCAAAATGTTAAAATACCGTAAGACCGAAAAATTCCATGTCATAAAAACCAAATACCCAAGTTCTGAAAGAATTTCCACAATGACACAAAGCTTTGGAGCTGAAGAGCAAACCTTTTGCAATTAGCTTTAACTGTCGCAGCTTGGAATGCCACGAAGCAATGAGCCTATGGAGACCTAGGCGTGTAGGTGGATAGGCAAAGGAGTTCTCATGCACACTCGCTTGGTTGGTTTCGTAGATATCTAAAACACCTGAAGACTTAAATAATTACAATATGCGTATATAGAAATGTGCCTTTCAGTTGCAAGAAATTTTACAATTTTATCATTTTGCTGACAAAGAAATTTTGTTGAAAACCCCACGCATAGAATTGAGTTCATATCATATTTCTCGGCTGGAAGGAGATAGCTGTTAATTGAGAAGGAAAATTGAGTAAAAAGTGGAAAATTTTGATACTTATATATATATGTATATAAGTACATAATGTATATCAGCGTGTTTAACACACACGTACATGTGATTGTATGTATTTCCCTCCTTACATACGAAGGAATTAACAAAAGTTCGCTAAAGTGACCAAAAAGAAAATTAATTTTATATTTATTCGTAATTCTTCTCCACATAAATACCATTGATTTTAATGAATTTCTTGAGCCACTTGTGAAAACAGTCTTCAAGGTATTGCTTTTTAAGCTTTTCAAGTTCAGCATTAATCGCATTAATTAACTCCTCGTTGCTATTAAAGACGTTTTCTTTTAAAATATTCTTTAATTTTTGGAAATAACCTTAAATCAAAAAGATGCTATATCCGGGGAATATGGTGTTGGATGTAGGCTTTCTTCCTATTTTCCAACATATTTTTGAAAATTTTTGGTAAGCACTCTTCGGTGTACCATTTTACAGCTACCATCTTTCCCTTTTCCAGTGGAATAGCAGCTACGACCTTAGATTGGCTGAAGTAAGCTGAGTTTGCTGCTGATTTTTGTTGCTTACATCTTACGGGTGGGTTGACTCCTGTTGGGCTCGATAGCACGAACTGTTGTTTGGTTTCTGGATCGGACTTTTTGAACCAAGATTCATCACCCGTCACGAATTTATAAAAGTTGTTGGAATGATTGTTTTCGAATTTGTTTAGGAAAATTGTGCAAAATGCATTCGTGCCTCCTTTTAGGCTGCATTTAAAATTACTGGCAACCATCGAGCAGATTTCTTCATGTATCTCAGATAATTGCTTAATATTCGCAATACGCCAAGGCATTTAAGCCCAATTCATTACCAATCATTTCTTGTGTCAATTTTGGACTTCACCAGAGCTACAGTGACGTCATCAGTGGCATCTTTTGATCGACCTTCCCGGGGCACGGAAAAATGTTCGATCTTAAATCTTTGGAACCACTTAGAAGTAGTCTTTAGAGACGATGCAATCGTTCCATAGCTCCATAGGCAAATTGGCATTCACAGAATATTTGTATTGACTGTAAATTACGCCGAAGAACCCGAAGAGAATCACATGGTGAATTTCTGTTTGTGTTGGTGGTGGTATTTCGTCTGGCTTATTCTCAGCTATCTTGCCGATCGTTCTTAAATTGAAAATTAAGACTAAAAAAGTAATTGCAAAGATTTGGTATTTTCATATTTAACAAAAACAAATTGAAAGTCACTACCTGACCGAACTTTGGTTGATCCCCTCGTATGATACGTGTTATCGGTTTGTAGGTAGTCAGCGAAGTATGTTAATTTCAAATGTTAAGAAATTTAATTAAATCACATTCCAGTTACATACACATCTACGCACTTATACCCCAAGAAAAGCCTTCTATGCATATATATACGAGTATATATACATATGTATTTGAATTAAAGCGAACATGTCTGAGTTGCATTTGCACTTTTTTGCCATTTTTATTTTCTAACCCCTTCTTCTTCTTCTTCTACTTTCTAAAAAAAAAAAAGTAAATAAAAGTTTTTATTTTTAAACAACAAACTTTCCGAACACAATAAAATACTTTACACACATACATATTTATTCGCATTGCAATTTAAACTTGTTCAAGTTTCCGTTACGCGATTTCTGTCATTCTACTAAAATTTACAACATACACGAGTTTGCTATTTTGGTGTACTGCCTTGCGTATGTATGTATGTATGTGTGTAGGAAAGGCGTAAGGATTAGAGAAAAAGCAAACACATGTGTTGCCTACCAAATGAATGTCTGACGTGGGCGGCAAGCCGCAAAAAGACAGCCAAGCAGTCGCATTAAATTACGGTGAAAGCGTGTAGGTTTTTCCACCTTTTTACGGTGTGTTTTTTTTTCAAAATGATTTAAACTTGTCACTGAAATATGTTTGATGAATTACTTTGCTTTATTTAAAATTCACACAAAACAAGCCTAAATTTCTAAGCTGACCAATCAAGGCAATGACATGAAAACTGGTATTTAAATTTGAATTAAAAACGAGAAAGAAGAGCTGTCTTCGGTCATGCCGAAGTCTTTACATCTTTCATAATCATATCAAATTTATGGTATACCAGAAAAATTTATTAAATTGAGTATGCAATGGAGTTTGCCGATGTTGTAATTGTGACCCTACTTTTTTGTAGAAAAAATCACAGAAAATTCCAATTCAATGGGAAATGTTGATTATCATTCGAAAGAGCTTTTTTTTGGCCTTTGCTTTTGGAAAATTATCTCTTTCAAATGTGCGACACAGTTATTTCTCAGATAATCCATCCGTTGGGCCCGAATTTCGATGACCCGTAAGAGCATTTCTACTGGTAACTGCCGAACGACACACCTGATGTTTTGCTCCAAGGTCTGAATCGAAGCAAGATGTTCCCCACAGGAAAAAGTCTAACAGTCGACCAGTTTAAAACGTGAAATTATGTGCTCACTGAAGCATTTTCGCAATAAATTTATTGATTGTTGCAATGTTTGGAAAGTGGCGCCATTTTATTCAAACCAAATATCGCTGAGAACACGAGCTTCAATTTTCGACATCAAATAGTCGGTTACCATGGCGTGTTAACGGTCGCCATTGACAGTTACGTTCTCACCGGCATCAAATTTTGAAAGATATATGGATCGATGATTACAGCGGGCCACAAACCACACCAAACCGTTGTTGTTTCTGGGTGAAATGGCTGCACTTGAAACTCTTCAGGTTGTTCTTCGTCCCAAATTCAACAATTTTGCTTGTTTACATAGCCTTTGAGCTCGAAATGGATCTCATCGCTTAACAAAGTTTGGGTCTAAAACCTCGGATCTTCTCAAGAGCTCATAAAGTGAAGCGTTGTCGCTTGTGAAGGGAAGGGAAGGAAGGCCTCAGTTATTACACAAGTTGTATTTAATACGCTTTCAATTTAAGATCTCGATGTAAAACGCGCCAAATGATTCCTTATGTCAGTCCGAGTTGCTGCGAACAGCGCCAAATCGGCTCTCTACGGTCTTCGTGTACACTCTCCACTATGGCCGCTATATTTTGTTCACTGCGTGCTGGACGTGGTCTATTTGGTAGAGTTTTATCCAATATTTAAATAGATTTGAACACTGGGTCTCAAGATGGATGATGGACAAAAAGTGAAGTTTCTTAAAAAGGTTAGACGATTTGAAAGCTTTGTTCAGACAATACTGAACAAAAATCAAATGACAGCTTGACATGGCTCACGCGTGATCTGTCCAGAAAAAAAGGCTATTGATAAAAGTACCTCTATTTGGAAGACCCGCTAGTTTGCTTACAAACTGACAGACAGACGGACATGGTTGAAACGACTCAACTCGTGATTCTAATTCGAGCAGATACATATTTGTTGGCCCTAACTCTTCTCCCTCTGGTACTTACCATTTCATCATATAAATACACATAAATACATCAAATATAGCAATTTACTAATAATATTATTTTCCTTTCTCTTCCAGTTAACACCTGCCACCGAACGTCTGAGACAAAAATGAAAATGAAATTGAAATCTCAAACTATCTACTAAACTCAACCACCTAACCCCAGCTTCACAGCCCGCAACCAACAACGCAACAAGATGTTCTCCCACCACCATTTCCTACACCCACATATGGCAACGATTGCCTTCGCCGCTGGCGCTTTGGCCAACACTGCAACCGCCGATGAAATGCTGCTGCTCGATGACGAACTCATCGTCAGTCAAGCATATTACACCAATTCGCAGCTTTTCGCCTTTGACTCCTCATCGTTGGTGGATCTACAGCAGTTGCTGCAGAGTGATGCATTCAAGCAGAATATGTCTCTAACACTCAATATATCGACGGAAAATCTCACGGATCTGTTAAATACAGCGCAGCTAAATCAAACCCGCGATGTGGCACAACAGCAGCTCGCCATGTCCGTGCTGATTACGCTCACCGTCTTCTATGCAATTATTTTCGTTGCCGGTGTTTTGGGTAATCTCATCACTTGCATTGTCATTTGGCGGAATAAATTTATGCACACAGCGACAAACTATTACCTTTTCAATCTGGCTGTATCGGATTTAATGCTGCTGCTATCCGGTGAGTGAAAGTTCTCGTGAGAGTTCGAAGATTTTATACGAGATTCATGTGAATTTAGGTACAAAAGCTAACTACAATGCCACTTTCGTATGATTTTGAATTATATACTTAATTTAGAGATCAGAAACCCTTGAGAACTCTCTACAAAAGAATTTGCTGTTCGTATAGTCATATATTCTTACTGAGATTTCTATGGAAACTACCCTAAAGACATTTTTCCTAAAAACGTAGTCTCGTGTCAGCTTCATAAAATGCATTCCAAACCATTTAAATGAGTTCTTGGGAGAACTTTTTATGAGTAAAATTCGGAACTCGAAAAAAAATTGTAGTAGACCCTTTTAGTGTGATAAAAAATGTAGCCTGAAACGTTTTAACAAAATTCGGAAGCGATTTCTGGTTTCGCTTTCGAGGCAATTTCAACATATCAGGGCATTCGCACGGGACAAAAAAAATTTAATCAACATTCTTTGCCAGCAAGTGACAAAAAATCTGAATATATTAGGGATTAATTTTTGATTTATTAACATTCATGCCACATAAATATAATTAATTCCCATTTTAACCAACGTCGCACGGGACTTTGGTGAAAAAACTATTTATTTCTCAATAAAGCATCTTTAAAATATTTGAAATAATTGTATGCAGAGGATGTAATGTAAGGCCTTTTTGACAGTGAAATATTCTTTTCCAAAAATTAGTTAAATATCTCTTAAAATTCATAAAGAGGCTGTGACTAGCCTGACGATAGTCCATTCAATTCTGTCTGTCCTGTTTCTCAGCACATTTTCAATTGTGTGGAACTGTACAATGTTTCAAATTATGAATCACCAATTCGGCTAATTTCGAACTCAGCCGATTATAACGTAGGCTGTAGGGCACGTAGCGCCGTTTTGTTGAAACCACACAACGTCCATGACATTCTTTTCAACGTTTGAAAACAAATAATCTCTAAGGATGTCCCTGTCGATAATGTCATCGATTTACATTTCTCACCAAAAAAAGTTACTCGTTGTTGATGCAATGCCTAATCCATGGTTAAGTATGGGGTTTCCGAGTCAAAGTTTTGCTTGATTATGTAGCCACGGAGTCGAAAATGAGCTACAACGGACGAAAGGATTTTCCGTCGAAAATGTTTATCTTCTGCCAAAATAAATCGCTTTAAATGTTTCATGTTTCAGTTCTTAGATCAATTGGGCCATTCTTCATGCCGTGGTCTGTATACAAAATCCTGAGAACGCGAAATGTTTATTTCCAGGTAACGGTGTCGAGTTGATGAGCACCATTTGAGTTAAATCGGCAACATGTGACTCTAAATGTACTGAAAAAGCACGAATGCGAGTCACGATGACCCGGTTAGACGAACTGACTGAGGTTTCAATACTTTCGAATTTTTTTCAACCGTAAACTTAATTATAGAATATTTTTTAAATTGTAAAATTAATAAAATTACATAAAACTGAAGTAGTAATATTTTTCAACCATTTAAACCGGTATAAGACTAATGTAATATATTTTAGGCCAAAGTCTAATAATCGAAAACTGCTAACGACAACTCATCAGATGTTGTCACCATCCATTCACCATATAGCAGAACGGGAACGATGAGGGACTTGTAGAGTTTGGTTTTCGTTCGCCGAGAGAGGACTTCACATTTCAATTGCCCACTCCGTCCAAAGATGCACCTCTTGGCAAGACTGATTCTCCGTTGGATTTCCAGACTGACAATGTTGGTGTTGATACTGCTTCCTAAATAGACGAAGTTATCTATGACTTCAAAGTTATGACTGTCAACAGTGACGTGAGATCCGAATCGCCAATGCGATGACTGTTTGTGTGATGGCTGGATATATTTCGTCTTTCCCAAATTCACTACCAGACCCATTTGCTGTGCTTCTTTATCGAGGCTGGAGAAGGCAGAACTAACGGTTGTATAAGTTCTGGAGCTTCTATTCGTGCTGTCGAAGGCAGGTCTTTTCTAGGAAATATTTGGCGCAAAGTGAAAACCTGGTCAATGGTTGACTTACCAGGCCAAAAGCCAATCAGTTTGTTGACAGTTGGCTTTAGTCTCTCACACAATAGGCTTGATAGGACCTCGTATGCGATATTGAGGAGGCTTAACCCACGATAATTGGCGCAGACTATAGGGTCCCCTCTTTTATGGTTTGGGCAGCGCACACCTTTATTCCAATCATCGGGCATGCTTTCATCCGACCATATTCTGCGAAGTAGCTGATGCATGCCGGTAGGCCGTCAGCTCCCGCCGCTTTGTTGTTTTTTAAGCGTGCGATTGCTATTCGAACTTTTTCATGGTCAGGTAATGGAACGTCTTTTCCATCGTCATGGATTGGAGTTTCGGATACTCCGTCTCTGGATATTCAATTTTCACTGCAGTTCAGCAGGCTTGAGAAGCGTTATCTAAATCAATTACTAATATTTAGTTTTGTTCTATAATACTGATATATAAAATACTACCCTCGTGTTAGTCAAAGAGTTTTGTAACCGTTCATTTTCATTGTCAGGCCTGTAAGCTATGTTTACTTTCATTTTGCTAATGCAGCGTAAATTCTTATTATCATAGGAAAAATCCTTGCAAAAAATTATTAGTTCCAAAATGAAAGACATCCGTCAACTTTCTTATCATATTCATACATATATATATATATATATATATATGCATATGCATATCTTAATATTTGCATATGTATGTTTATTTGTGTGCCATTGCGATAATCCCTTGAACAACAAAATTTATGCGCTCGCCATTTAATCAAATCGAAAATATTTTTTTTCTTTTTTTCAACTAAATTATGCAGCAACGCAAATTTCTCACTTAATAAATCCGTACAGAAGTACAGAGAATTTTGTATATAAATTTCCTATGATTGATATGCTGACGAATATGTGGATAAATAATAAGTCCTTGCAAAAGCTATAAAATAGAGGCCTCAAAATGAAATAAGAGGAAAACTAAAAATTTGATTTTTGGGCCTTTCAACACATACTCGTACTCAGCTAACTGTAAATAAGTACTCACGTGTCATGTAATTGACTGCTACTCGAGTGACAGTAAATTGTCAAGTGTCCTTGAAAATGTGCGAAAATTTGCAAAAATATCACAAGCTCCACTTAGTATTAGTCAAGTAAAAAGTCATACATTATTTTGGCATTAAATTGAAGACTTTATCAGCCATAGTTAGAATTATACGATTTATGCCAAATATGCAGCGTTTAACCCGATTTATGCCATTTTGAAGTTATTATTATTATGCCTCTCTCATAGAAACGATTGTCTCTATTGGCGAAAAATGGGATAATTGATTTTCAAAGGATACTCTTGAGCTCAATTATTCACCAGCCAAATCATACGAAAAATACAGGAACAGATGGTAATCACGTGGTGCGAGGTAGAGGCTTTAGATGGATGCATAGGAATCTCCCTACAAAGCACACGGAGCTTCTGGCGAGTCACTTTCGATGTGTGTGGTTGTCCTGATAAAATGCAATTTCTTTCCTGTTCGCTAAAGCCAAGCGCTCCTGGGCATTTGCTCCCTTTAGACGGTCCAAGTGCTAAGAGTACAGGTCCGTTTTAAAAGTTTGGCAGTAGGTGAGCAGCTTCAGATTCCCTGTCAATTTCAGCAAACACACAATATAAAAACTTTCTGGCTATCAATCTTGGCTTAGAGACCGTTTGTGCCGGCTAATTGCCCTTCGATCACGACCGTTTTCTATTGACGTTGAAGTTGGTCATTCGCTTTTCATCACTAGTCATCTCCGCTTCAGAAATGGGTCCATTTAGTTACGGTTCAGCAGCGATTCGCAGAGGGGAATTTGGTTTTTTTCTTGTTAACTCATGTGGCATTCAAATATTTCGTTTGATTCCGCCTTTATCGAAGAAAAATTGTAGAATATCGCGTATTTTCTCTTTGCTGGCGTTCAATTAGTACTGAGTTCAATGATCAACACTTTTCTCATTATCTTTTTAAGTGCAAAATATCATCTTTCTAACGCCATCTAGGTTGACCTAATCGCACCTATACAACGTGAGATAGCGATAACCAAACCCATCTGTTGAAAAAATAATAAATGACTTTTTACTTGACCTAATATATGGTTGTTTAACGAAATATTTACTCTACTGTAAAGTGGATGGAACGATGTGTAGTATGAGTGTCTTCCAAGTGTCAATGACATGCAAATAATATTATATATTCACAAAAATATGTATGTATGTACATATCTAGGGATATATGGATTTGATAAATTTATGCAGGTCTATCCACTCATAGTTTATGAAAAGTGTATTTTCTCGCTTGGTTTATCCTTGAACTACTAAAAGAGGGTGTGGTTGGTTGATTTCTACGGTAACTTCCGAAAAGGTTGACATAAAAGTATGTCCTTATTGTTTAAAAAATATGAATACTTAAAGTATGAAGGATCTAAAAGTGAATATTAAATATAACTTTCCATCAATTTGTTGTAAGTGGCTTAGATGGAGCTAAGCAGAGAGCTATGCGCTTAATAGGGGGTTGAAGCAATGAGGCATTGAACTATGAAGTTGCCCAACAACAAAACTGCTCGAAAAGCTCTAACAACCCCATTGGAGCCTAGACAAACGGCCTGTGGACAAGGGCAAAAAGAGATATCCGTCTGTTCACCAGATGGTGAGGCTACGAATGTGCGTCAGTCTTAAAGCAGGCAGCTCGCTACAGAAATGTGTCAAGAACTTAAGCCTACTTGCGAAGCAAGTGTAGTTTGAAGGACCACGATTTAAAGGTATGCATCTGTAATACCCTTAATTAGCAAGGTGCTGCTGCAGTGAAGGTTGCAGTCGTCGTAAGGCCAAATGTTTCTTTTTCTTCTTTATTGACATTTTATCCCGTTTTTTTCTGTTTGACGCCCGTGGAAATACCAAGTGAAGCCAGATCCCTCTCAAGCTGATCCTTCCAACGGAGTGGATGTCTTTCTCTCTCCAGCGAATGAAGAGACAGCGGCTATGCTGGCTAGACCATGTCGTCCGAATGGCTGAAAGCACTACAGCTATGAAAATATTCGATGCACTACCCGCTGGTGGAATCATGGGAAGTCTGCGACTCCGTTGGAAAAATCAATATGACGCGCCGGTTTTTACTCATCTATAATCCCTTGAGTGAATAAAAAGATACTTCCCTGCGAATCTCGATTGGAAATGAACAAACGATTTTTAGTTAAGGAAGGAATGCTTTCTGACTAACTCGTATTGCATGAGGTTGCTTTTTAACTGTCATGAGCACCGCTTACTTTATTTTAGTCATAAACGGCGAAGCAATTATTTCTGAAGAGCCAAATAAAGGTTGACCGTTTTCATTTGATCTTTTCAATGGGAATTATTCCCTTTTACTGATGCCACTGGATTTTAAGCAATACGCCGAATGTTGGTTTAATGATAGGAGATATGTCCTCATGTGCTTGGGCTCATTAAGCTTAGAGAAAGCGGTTGTTGTTGTTGTAACGTAGGCACAGACTTATCAGTTAAGTCATTGAGATCATCTGACGGGGGGTCCAGGCAACGAAATATTTCGACATTCGGACCAGAGGAGGAGTGAGATGGTTAGCCGCGTACGGGAACTCGTTAAATACAGGACATCCGATTGGTATTTTGAAGATTGAGTCTGGATAAGTGGGAGTTCAACCTGCTACAAAATCCAGCCCTAAGTTACGCCAGTATTACGAGGGACTGCCGAGGCAACTCGAGCACTTCGTCTGCTATGGGTGGTGAATTGATTCCGAGAACGCCACTCCCAGAGAGAGCTCATAAAGGTGTTAACTGACTTTTGTTAAACGTCATCTTGTCCAGCGCTTGTGGTAGATATTGCCGCATGAAGTCCTTTAAGTCGAAAGAAAGAAGTGGTTGTTGGACTCAATGGTTTCAATATCATCTGGATTCCTCTTTCTGACGTATAAGTTTCGCAAGGCTACTGAAATGTAGATACAGCTCCGTAAATCTAACTTGGTTTCGTTCTATTCATGACCTTTTTGAAAGATATTGTGCAGGTCAATTGATTTTCCATCAGTCTTTCTTAAGATTTGACGCGTGGTGTGCATGTAGTTAATGGTCTTAAGCCATACTGATAAGATCCAATAAGTTTGTAGCCGTTGGGCTTTGGTCTTTCACAAAGTGCGACTTGTCTCATGCTAATTTGCGCAGACCTAGGGCTCCCCGTGTTTATGGATTAGGCAGGTACATTTTTATGGATTAAACAGGTAATACTTAGGGGTCATCCGCTGAAAAAGAGCTGATGCTTGCACCTTTTCAATTCCATCGCCACTTTTTGTAGTTCAAACGTGTAATTTTTATGCAGTATTCTTAAGAGCCGCGTGATGGATTTCATCGACATCGATTGGATGTATGGATTCTCCGTGTGTTTAGCCATCACTGTAACTAAGAGGGCAAGTGAAGTACTCCCTCTATAACTCAGTACTCTGAGCATTACCTCTGAAAATACCTCTTTGGTTCCCACATGAGTATGTATGAGGTTTGAATCACGTTTCGGCTTCATCTCCGGCACTTTGGGTTACTGCTTATTAACCATCCACCGAATCTTGTAAAAAAGTTATTTTAATTGTTATCTCTCTTTCTCTCTCTCTCTCTCCGACAGGTGCACCACAAGATGTCTACAGCTATTGGTACCCAAATGCCTTCCCGTTCGGCGATGCCATATGCATACTTGGCAGTGTATTGGCCGAAACAGCAACAAATGCAACTGTGCTGACAATTACAGCATTTACCGTTGAGCGCTATATAGCCATATGCCATCCATTTCGGTGTGTATAAGTGCAAATTGGCATAGTGATTAACTGTATTTCTTGGATTCATTTCAATTTTCAGCTGACACTTGCATTTTGTAATTAAAGCTTTTACATAATTTGTAATTTTCTCAATTGAGATATTTCTTTTTTTCTCATTTAAGAAGTTTCAGTGAGTTGGCGTTGTTGAAAAGTATAAAGGGGAAAGAGCAGGAGATGAAATTTACAATTGGAGACAGTTACATTATTTTCTTTATTTTATTTTTTTTATTTTTTCTGCTTTTTTTCTTTTCCACTTTCCAGTTGCAACTCTAAGCACTTCATCGATTACCAAGTTACGTTACGGTTGACAATTTTTTAGGGCGAAAGCGTTATGGCTTCATGATTTTTAACTTAATTTACACTTACATACATACATTTTATTTCATTTCCACCTTTTCTTTACATATGTACTATGTATGTATCGACGTTGCACACTTTACTACCATTTTTTACTTATTTATGCCCAATGCAGTCTTATGAATTGTCCACCTCTGCTTTCTCTCTTTTTTATCGTCTAATTGCAGACAGCACACCATGTCGAAGCTATCGCGCGCCATCAAGTTCATCTTGGCCATTTGGGTGACGGCTCTGTTGCTCGCCTTGCCGCAGGCCATGCAATTCTCTGTCGTTTCAGAGCAGGGCGGCACCTCGTGCACGGTAAGTTCACGGAGAAGTACAATCACATACTCATACACTCTCTCAAGCATATATACGTGTGTGTATTATGTACAAAAAGGCCAAGAGGTCACTTAGGTTTTTAATATTGAAGTGGTTACCGCCGCTAATACTATTTGCACTACCTTTCTTGTCCTTAGTTCGTAGTACTGTTATCGTGCTGTCCATTTTAACGTTTAAATTCACCTCACCACTTGTTCTTGCATGTGGGTGTATGTGACTTTTCTTTTCTCTTGCTTTTTTCACTTGTTCACAGATTGGCAATCACTTCGTCGAACATGTTTTTGCCGTGTCGGGTTTTATCTTCTTTGGCGGTCCCATGACGGCGATTTGCGTACTTTATGTACTGATTGGTATAAAGTTAAAGCGTAGCCGTTTGCTGCAGGCCGTACCACGACGGAGCCTAGATGTGCATCGTGGCATAAGTGCACAGAGTCGAGTGATCAGAATGTTGGGTGAGTAGTTGGCGTGAAGGGATTGAGGTGTAAGAGAGAAGTATATTGATTTATATATGTATTTGTATTATAAATATTATTATTATTTTTTTAATTATAGTTTATTAACAAAAGCTAAAGACATAGTGGCGTAAAGCACTTATTGAAAATAAAAAAAAAATTTTTTCCAGCACACATAAATTTTGTAACAGCAAATATGTCTGAGCATAATTTAGAAATTCCTTTAAGATAATATAACATTTGCAAAGTGAAAAAATATACTGGTATGAAATTTTTGTAAGCATTATTTATCGCTTAACATAATATGCTTCTCGACATAAAATGTGTCAAACCAAAAATCTGGCAGAGCACATTTTCGATTCACAAATTAAATTATAAAATTTATTTACCATCTAAGCGCTAAAACCTTTTGAAAGTAAAATGTTTTCAATATTAAATGTCATTTAAATATGACGCTATGTACATATTTATCGCTGAGAAAATTTTTAAGTATAAATTTTTTTCGAAACACAATTTGTGTGACGAAGCCTATTTTTTTGGTAAACATATTTTATGGAATGACATAATTTGTGGTGAAACATAATATATGGCAAAACACAATTTGCGACGAAAAATGCGATATACATGCATTTTTGTCGGCACATTATTTTTGGTTCAGCACTACTCGTTTTGGCATGCATCTATTGAAAAAATATATCTAAACATAATTAAAAATTTTGTTTTTAACAATATTTTTACTGTCCGAGAACAATAAATTATATAATGGGCAGAAACTTGTATGCACTTCAATATGAAAGCAATAAACTCTTCTCAAAAACGTTTACAAACAAAATAATCTTAAAAATATATGTACGTACGTAAAATAAAATGCCAAAAAAAATCTTAACAAAAATTTTTGCTTAACAATACTAATGCTAGACATGAAATGTTGATAAGAAAAAATATTGCATGCCATGAAATGTTGATAAGAAAAAATATTGCTTGCCATGAAATGCTGATAAGAAAAAAATGTTGCCCCAAATTAATAACACTTAAATTTTTTTTTAATAAAATATAGTGCTGAACATTAAATATTGCTGAACAATAAATATTGCTAGTCATTAAATATGGATAAACAAAAGTATTGCTAGGCATTAAATGTTAATGGACATAAAATGTGGCAAAAAAAATATTGCTAGGCATTAAATGTTGATGGACATAAAATGTTGCAAAAGAAAAATATTGCTAGGCAATAAATGTTCGGAAGCATTAAATGTTCTTTTGGTAGACATAAAATGTGGCTAGCGAAACAAATATTGCTAAGCAACAAAATGGTTAGACAAAAAGGTTTGCTTATCAAAGAAGTTGCTAGACATATAATTTTCCTAAAAGTAAATTGGTCATAATAAAAAATTAGCCAGACGTGAAATTTTGTAAACCAAAAAAATTTTATCGGCAAGAAATCTTACTCGCTTGCCCAACAGAAACATGTTGCTTAAAAATATAAATAATAGATATATGTTCATATGTATGTATGTGGATAAAAATGTTGCAAGCAAAAAATATGGCCAACTAAAATTTTTTCTAGACAAAAACTGGTAACATGCAAGCAATTTTATTTTTAATATGTCTAGATATAAAATTTTACCATACATAAAATAATGCTAAACAAAAGACAAGTCTGCACAAGAAATTTTGCTGACCACAAAAAGTGTTGCTTAACAAAAATTATGTCTAGACAGAAAATTTTTCTTAATTAAAATTCATAGTTAAACAGGAGAACACAATGTATTATCTCCTTGAAAATGTGAATTGCTTATTCATTCACTTCACTGCACTGTGTGCTTAGCTTAAAATAATTATTATTTTCATTCATCATACGCCGTGGTGTACTACTTCTAATAATATAGCAAGATATTATATTATATTAATATGCAGCAGGTATATAGGAGACAATATTTATACACTTCAAAATCCTAAAATAACTTCGAACTTAATACTATCCTAATTTTCATAACTTATATGTATAAGTATGTATATTATATATGTAAGCATAAAATATTTGCTGAAAAATTCCACGCACAAATGATTTTGTCACACGCCTGTTGTCTGAGCCAACTAAGCAAATAAAACCCAAATAAATTTTAGTCAAACAAATAAAGTGAGCAAGAAAATACCTAAGAACACATCCGAAAAGCCACAAAACCCACTCTTACTCTCAACGCCGAGTTCCTCTTCGATATGCCTATATAAATATTTACATAATTTTTGGTGTTGGCGTCAAAAACAACACGCCCGTTCAAGTCAATTAATGTAATATATTGAACAGCAGGCGATCACCAGCAACGCAGTCATGCTTACCGGTCGCTACCGCCGCGAAGAAGGTGTGTTGCGGCATACGCTTTCACCGGCGTTTTACTTGTTTGTTCATGTGGATTGCGCTTAGGCGTCGTACAACACGCGTAGCCTAATTCTGTAAGCATAGGCGTGTGACCTGTTTGAACAACAACTAATATGATATGAGTTGTGAACAAGGAAGAGAGGAGGAGAGGAGGAGGGGAGGAGGGGAAGTTATAGCTTTGAAACACTTAAACACCTGTGGCATAAACAAATGAAATTTCTACGAGCTTTAGCAGACAGACAGGTAATCCGTTTGTGGCATTGTTTGTTTTTCAACTTAAATTGTATAATCACGCGATAGTAGACTGATGTTTGAAACGATATTATGACAATAAACACACACTACACGCAAACGAGGTGAGAAATTTTGATTTTCACTGAGCTCAGAAAATGCTCATGAGTTTATGGCCAATACGGGTGAAGGGCAAGAGTTGGGGCAAGCGCAAAGTGAGATTAAAAATAAAAGGCAAATAATCAAGTATTTGATATTAATTTCGAATTTCACATCGAACACGTAAATGTTTATATGTTCACAAAAGCTCAATTCTGTGCTCACAACATCTCTAAATTTCATACGACAAATCCTGCTAACCAAAAAAATAGTTAAAGTAAGACTAATTTGGCCATACTGAAGTTTTTATAACTTTCCATTTCGACGTTCTTTGATATCAGTATTTATTTGAATACCAAATTTTCTATTTCCTGTAGCTTTTTGACAGATTTTTTAACCAAAATTTCAAGTCTGAACGAATCGGTTGTATGGGGACAATGTGATATAGTCACGCGTTTTCGAAGACTTTCAGTGGCCAAATTTATTTGTATATAAGAATTTATAGTACGATAAGTCCAAAATAAATTATCATAATTTAATATATTTAAATAAATAAATAATAATTAAACTTAAAATAAATAAATACTTAAATAATGATCTTATGTCTTAAGCTTCTTATTAGAAGAAGCTGCCACGGATTGCATTTTTATTTTATTTTCTCCACCAACGTCAATGAATTTTTAAAAAAATATTTAATCGCTTTTTGTTTGCCTACTTTTTCCCACATATTTTTCTTTCCATTGTTTGTCCCTTTTATTTTTTTTTTTTTTTTTTTTTTTTTTTTTTTTTTTTTTTTTTTGCCTTCGTATTTTTCTTATATTTACATATCATCACCAACTAAAAAAAAAACAACAAAAAATTGTTTTCATCATTTCCGTGCACGCTAATAACAAAATCAACAATACAACTATAACGAAAACAACAACAGTTGCCGTCGCGGTAGCCTTCTTCCTTTGCTGGGCACCCTTCCACGCTCAACGTCTGATGGCTGTGTACGGCAGCAGCGCCAATATTGAATCGCAACTCTTCAAGGATGTCTTCGAGGCTGTCGATCTCACATCCGGTGTACTGTATTACCTATCGACCTGCATTAATCCCTTACTTTACAACATCATGAGCCACAAATTTCGTGATGCTTTCAAGGTAAGCTAAAGTTAAATTTACTGATATATATATATGTATGATTATCTGTATGTAGTACGCAGGGATTGGGTTGAAATAAAATTACAGTCATTTCCATGGTATATATATATATATATATATATATGTATGTGTATGCATACAGAATGAAATGGTTGCGTGCGTGTGTGTGCATGTGTTCTTTGCGTGTTAGGAAGTTTAACTTGCCCTTTTGTGAACAGCTGACGCGTATTGAAATGACTTTGGCGATACTTTGTAAATGTGATTGAGAAAATGGAAAATGGAGATTGAGAGGAATTCATATATTATATAAAATTAAATAAAAATTTGTATAAAAATACAAGCGAAATTGTGCTCTAAATTATGTTACGCTTTGTATATTTCCAATTTTCTTAAATTTTTTATTAATTTTTTTCAAGATGTGTATCTTAACCTTTTCAAAATATGCATGTAAAACATTCCCATTCAAAATTTAAACTTTCTCAAATTTCACTTGCCTTTTTTTACATGAATAAAATGTTAAAAAATTACGAAAATAAATTTTTATTTTTTATAACATGAAACCCTGCCAACTGAGTTTTCGGAACAAATCTCAATGATTTTTTTTTACTTTTGCCACATTGTTATTTTTATTATCCAAATTAAAGTAATTTATTTTAATTTTGATGTCAGTTAATTCAAGAAGAGCTGGTAGTTAAACTTTTTGAGAATCTCACTCTGGGAGTGTAGTGTCGCCTTCCGTTTTTTTTTCCAATCTCCAAATCTCGCCTGCGTTACTTTTCTTGTCTAGTCCCGTTTTATACATTTATTTTTACCTTTTCTCTAAAATTTTCCTGATCTAATCACTCATCCACTATTATCCAACTCGATCTGAGTTCATCTGTTTTTATTTCAAGTCAGCATTCACAAATCTCTTCCTCTTCATCTCACCTCATTTATCTCATCACATCTCATCTCATCTTATCTCTTCTCTTCTCATCTCACCTCACTTATCTGATCTGATCTCATCTCATTTCATCCCATTTCATCTCATCTCATCTCATCTCACCTCATCTCATCTTATTTCATCTCATCTCATCTAATTCATCTATTTATTACAATTTCACTTTGATTCTTATTTCATCTTACCTGATTTCAACTTTACACGTATTCTCTTCTTTTTTATCTCACCTCACTTATCTGATCTAATCTTCTCGACTCAACTTATCTCACCTCAACCCATCTCATCTCGTCTTAACTCACCTCATGTCATCTCATCTCATCTCATCTCATCCCATCTCATCTCATCTCATCTCATCTCATCTCATCTCATCTCATCTCATCTCATCTCATCTCATCTCATCTTATTTCATCTCATCTCATCTCACCTCATGTCATCTCATCTCATCTGAACTCGTCTCATCTCATCTGATCTCACCTCAACGCATCTCATCTCATCTTATCTCACCTCATCTTATCTCATCTCATCTCAACTCATCTCATCTCATCTCATCTCATCTCATCTCATCTCATCTCATCTCATCTCATCTCATCTCATCTCATATCATCTTATCTCACCTCATCTCTTCTCATCTGATCTCATCTTACTTCATCTCATTTCATCAACTCATGTCATCTCATCTCATCTCTTCTCATCTCATTTTATCTCATCTCATCTCATATCATATCATTGCATCGCATTTAATCTCTTCTCTTCTCATCTCCTTTTATTTTGTCTCATCTCATCTGATCTCATCATTATCACGTTTAGATTCATTCCCCTAATCTAAACTTTGCTGCTTTCTTCCCATATCATCGCATCACTTCTCTTCTCGCTTGAAACTTTCGCCTTTGCTTCTCTTTACTCTTATTTCTTTCAGAAAATTATGTCTTTCCTCACATTTTATTTGTTTGCCTACGTTGTTGTAGAGGCTATCTCTACCTTAGTTTTAGTTATTTTTTTGGTATTTTCTTTTCCACGTCGTCTTGATTTTTCTTGTCAAAATACTTGATATCTTTTGCCAATACGTTTCCTATCTATTTTTAAAACAATAAATAAAAGACTTTTTCCCCCAAATTACCCAGTTTAAAACAGAAATTAGTCCATAATTACATTTTTTTTTTTGTAACAATTTTTTAATATTTTTCTTTACTTTTCACAATTTTTATTTTCCCTTCTTTCACACAAAAAAAATCATTTTTCCTCTTTCGCAGGTTACTTTGGCCCGTCAATTCGGATTTCCCGGCCGCTATCAGAGTCAAAGCCACAACTACAGCGCCCTGCTGCGCCAGAACGGCTCGATGCGTCTACATACAACGGTGAATAACAATGCTCTCGATCACTACCACTCTTACCGAGTTATGCAATTGCATTGTCGTGACCAAAGCCATCATCTTTCTCTGCAGGACAGCATCCGCACAACAACAACGACGACCACAATCAACAGCAACAGCGGCGGAATGGGCAGCATGGGTGGAATGGGCGGCAATAGTGTCAGCCGACGCTCCTCGAATCGTTCTCGTTACACCTCCATCGGCTCACAGTCACCGCTGACAACAACACTAGCCAAGCGTGATGAAATCTTGGTGAATGCAATAAATGGCAGCAAACAACAGCAACAACAACAACACCATCACATGCTCCAATCTCAACTGTCGCAACGCTCGAATGGCGCCGATAGTAATTTACTGTTCGACATGGAATTGTGCGCCGGACATAATTATTGCCACCACGCTCACGCGCCGTCCTCATCGTCGAACTCGTCGTCGGCCATAAATTCCAACCGTAGTGATAATTTACGACGCTCCGTCATTAGCAATAGTATGGTGCATAATGCGCGTAGCGCTGGCCGAGCCGTGTGCGATGATCGCATGTCGATTAATTCGCAGGAATGGGATAGCAGCGCCAGTCAATATGAGCTCGGCGATGCACACTGCATGTTGGGTAGCGGCGAACTTGAGTCCGCCACAACGAATAGTCTGTCGCGAACGCCTGTGGGTGGCGTTGTACCAACACCACCACTGTCCGGCATGCAGCCCGTTAATTCCATAGCGGAATTGGACGTGCATGCACCGGCACGCACGCGTCTCAAACTTTCGCGCATAATAAATCGACGTGACCAGGACACATTGTTGGCCAAATCGACGCCGCGTGCAGAGCTAATGCGCAGCACCGTTAATGTGCCTAATGTGCCCGGTTCACCGTTTACGACCTACGAACAGAATAAGAAGAAGCAAGCGCGTGAGAGTGCGGCAAACGGCAGGCGAGCACACAAAACCTTTGACACACTCACCGGCATGTTCCATTGGCGTGCACGTAGAAAGGAGCTGGGGGGTCGTCGCATCGATGGAAAGAGCAGTAATGGTAATGGGCGTGCACGTCAGGACAGCCTGACGACAACACATTATCACACAAATGCGACCGCTACACCCACACCGCGTATGGCTGTTATGCGTAGCATATCGTCTGCAGCGCCCTGCATGCTCGAGTCCACGTTGAATGTCGAAATGGTGGGGGAAAAGCTGTGAAAAGCATGTCCGACATGCACCCAATGATTCAACACACACACACACACACATACACACAAATAAATACAGCCACCAGAACACACAACACATTAAGTGAGTGATAGCTATGTACATAGATAGTTAGTTAGTTAGGTATGCACCGTTATGTTGAAATTGAGAAAGTTCACTGCTAGTGAACCCATATTTTGACCATTTTTGGCATTTGACAGGTCACATAGCCCATATGGCGAGGCACACACACCACACGACGCTTATGTGCGCAACCTTACATGTCGCTCGTTCGTACGTACGTACATAAGTCTCTGGTTGATTACGCTTACCAACCACCCACATATACACAAGTACTTAAACACTACGGCGCTCCGAGCTCGCAACCATGAAAATCAATATAAAGGAACGCCGCCAAAATCTCTGACAAATTATTTAAGCGAAAACATGGCACTCAGCTCTACCCACTTCCAAATATTTACATACATGCATAACTTGTATATGTCATGTATATACTTACATGGAAATTTCGCTTACACTATCTGTCGTCATCTACACACTCCAGCCACCGTTAGTCACCCAGTCACGAGCACGAAAAGTGCGAGTTTTCTAAATCATCTAAGCAATCTGTCTCATCAGCGTGTTAGGCCACTTATCTCCGCAATTTGTTGCCACATCAAGACGACTCACTAACCGCAAAACTCGTGCATACGCATTTATACACACATTTGTCCTTTGTCGCATTGTCGCATTGCCGCATTGTCTTCATCCATCCAAAGACCATCGTACATTTGCGTAAATACAGAAATAAAATAAATTACAAGAAATCCCCTAGTCAGACAGTCGCATCTCTACAAATGCCAGAACATTAACTAAAATCAAACTCATACATGTGTGTGTGTGTGTTTTGCGTCGTACGCGGTCGTCCCAATGAGTGTGCAACATATGTAAATGGTAATTTTCAGTAACAGAGAATAACTTGAGAGTGAAAGTGAGAAGCGTTTAATGTCAAAAGCAACAATGATATATGTAATTATTTTCATATATAATATATGCGATAGAAATGGGATGCGATGTTATATTTATTACAGAACAAACTGCATAACTTAACGCAACTTGGCATAGCTTAGAATAATATGAATTATGTCAGCCCATAATCAATCATAATTCTAAATATAATCGAAGTCATAGTATAATGAAGCATAACTTAACATAACTTAACATAACATACCATAACATACCATACCATAACATAACTTAACATAACATAACGTACCATAACATAAGATAAATGACATAACATACCATAACATAACATAAGGCAATATGAAACAATATAATATATCATAATATGCAAAAACAGAAAAGCAATAAAAAAGTACACAGTTGGCAAGAAATAACTTAACATAACTTAATGTAAAAGTGTAATATTTACAAAAACTTCCAATGAATGTTTTTGTTTGGGTAAAATCTAATTCAGATACTCAATTTATATCTTCTGAGATCTAAAAGATGCCGACGAACAGCTACTTTCATTTTTAAAGCATTCAAGATGCTACGCTCAATATTCATTGCATACTTTCAGGCAATAGGTTTAACTTTCCGACATTTTATGTACTTATGCATAAGTGGAATTCTCAAGTGGACAGTGAGGTCATAAACTTAATGTACCTTTTAGGTGCTAAACTTAAAGTGCTTGGTAGATATTTTTAAGCTTGAATTATTGTAAGTCTAGCAGTTTGATTTAAAGACTCGTCAGTGCATATTTTACATATCTACATCGCTCGTTTTAACAGTAGAGTTAAATTCAATAAATTCTTCACGCAAATCAGGACATTTATACATTTCTCACTGAGCTCCACCCAATAAATACATTACTTTTCCCAACTACTAAATATCATCCCTCCTCTACCAACCAAGTTTAGGCATCTATTAAGGTTTGCCTATGGCCGTAGAAAAGATTAATAAGCACCTGAGGCGATATGAGACAAGCGAAGCTTAATTTCTTAAAGGTAATAACCGTTGTATAATATAAACATTCTGCCCTCATATAAAATTCTTCACTCTCCTATAGAACTCTTCATATTTTCATTATTTTCTTACTATATTGGCAGCATCAACGACGCTCTATGTTGTCACCCTTCAAAACTATTCCAACTATACTGAAACCACTAGTGAGCATAAGGTTAGGTTAGGTTCTTCTTCTTCTTATTTATTAATGTAGTTGCTACTTAGTCGATAGAAATTAACAACAAAGCGCTATTCGTCTCCGTTCTCAGCCGTCCGGCGCCCTTTGGAGATACCAAAATATGAGAGATCCTTTTCGACCTGATCTTTAAAACCAATTGGAAGTCTTTCTCTCCCACTGCTTCAGATGGCGAATGATATGGTCAAAAACTTTCAAAACTGAAGTATTGCCTCTCATACGGATGGTATGACTTAGCCAACGTATTCGCAATCTCCCTGAACTATGTAAATATGACATAAGTCATATGCAGAACGAAAAAACAGGTCAAAATGATGTGCCACTAGTAGAGTTTTGTTTTTGTTCGTTGGGAGAGGCCTTAAGAAACAGTTCAGGCATAAGCATACACAAAAGTTTGAGTTGGGTTTCAAGGGCGTCGTTATTAGTGGTAGTGATGGTGACAAGGTAGACCATCAGAAGTGTTCCTCGTTCTAACTCTGCAGCTCGTATTATTTTCTTTAGCATTAAAGAAGTGGCACAAGGAGTCAAGTTTGGTGTTGCGAAAACTGAACGGTTCACCAAACCAAGGTAATGAAATGAGCTCATCCATTTCTCCTTTCTGTCTCTTCTTTTTTCCAACTGAGTTGATGTTCAATACTCCAGAAGCAGAACATAGATTCCTAGGAATATTGAAAGAAGAGGATTGACCCACGCAAACTCCTTAGCTGTGATTGTGAAACTAAATGAGTCTTAACTTAAATACATCGAGCCAATTTGAAGCTTCATTGTTGAACTAACAAATTACTTAATGTTTATGAATCCACGAAGAGTCAGCTACCAGAGACTTCGTTCAGTACAGTCAAGTAAACAATGAATGTGTGTGATGAAGTATTGGTTAAAGAACAACTCAGAGAGCTTTTGTTCCAAGTGATGTACTGCTGAGCACTTGTGCGTTCTGATCTCAGCACGATCGATAACTTGTTTCTTTTAAGGTATTTTGTTATATAACAATAATACTGTATAGAACTTTCAGTTACCCATATTTTCGCCTTCCAGCTAATATTGGCATCGTAAAGTCAATAAGCAATTTCATTAATCGTTTGAGAAATACAAGAACAAGCCTCATGAAGCGCCTAAAAGTATGCTTTGGGAAAATCAAAAACACTTTACACAATTTGTTGTATCAAACTTTTTCTGACACTTCGAAACTCTTTAAAGTGTTTGAAAATATGCATGCATATGTACGTGTGTGAGCTCTGTTACTGAAAATTCCCTCCCTCTCTCTTTCTCTCACTCAATCGTAAATAAAAACAATTGAACTCATTTATATACCACATAATGTTTTTCAGCTTAAAGTTTGCCAACTTTCACAATAAATAAATAAATGAAAAAAACTTAAACAAAGAAGCAGTCCAGGCATAAGCATATACAAAAGTTGAGATACCGTTACGAATACGAAAACGAGCTGAAAGCGTATACCGTTTGAGATTAAGAAAAATTAAGATATTCCATTTTCACAGCCTTTTTCCTACACCTCGCTGCTAGAAAAAAAATGCCACTAAGCTTTTAAGTGTTGAAATGAACTCAAATGTTACTGAAAACCAAAAAGTTGTGAATTTATTGAAACAAACAAAAATAAGAAAAAATAAAAAACTGTAACGTTTAAGTTTTAAATGTTGGCGGATTTACTTTGTTTTGTATATAGATATATGTAGTAAACTTAGCAAGTAAATAAACATACTTATTAGCGCTGAAAGCAACGGCACTTGGCTTAATACTTGAAAAACTAAATACAATAATTTGCTTAAGTGAAGTTTTTTGCCAAGTAAATGAAAATAGAGAGAAAAGCGGTAAGCCAGAGAACATTTGTAGTTGTTTCAAAAGAGCTTTTTGAATTTATTCCAAATTGTAATGTAAGCAAAGTTAATTGAATTATAGTCCGTTCATATACTCGTAGAGCGTTGCGGAAAATGGCTGTGCCCTAAGATTTACATAATACATACAAGCATGTATACATACACACATTCAAACACATATGAATATGTAAAAAAAATATATATATACATATGTATATTTATTGAAATTAGCGCTGCGCACTTAATTATGTATTTAATTAAATATAATATATAATTTATAAATAAATAGTTTTAGTATAATCTAATATTATGAGTATATATGTACATACATATGTACGCCTATGTGCAATTAAAACAAAACTGGTTTAGTTTAGCTTGTTATATGCCCTTATACAAATAACAGATTTTAAAATAATTAATGATACATAGGTATATATATATATTTTATTAAATTATATATAATATAATGTTTATGTAATTTCTCAATTGTTATTATGTAATATTGTTACAATAAGAATGCAAATGAATCGACTATATATGGAAGTAAAAATTAAAAACAAAAAATTATTTCAAACTTCAAAAATGTTTCCTTTTTGTCCAAAAGCGTTAACGGTAAGTGTTTGCCTGCGTCTTGTGTTGGAAACAATTTAAGAAAAAGTTTAATTTATACTTGAGCAAAATACTAATATATTTTTAATGACTCCAGATCCAACAAAAAACTAGCAAGATATGCTGTCCATGTCTTTATACCTTCATGACCATATCACGTTTATGTTATTTCATTTTGGGATTAAATATTAATTCTCTCTTTTGACGGATCTTTCACCCACAAACTCATGTTACATTTTTTTACAGATTTTTGATCCAAATCCCTATAAATATTAGGTGTAGTAAAAAGAAATGCATTATTTTTTCAATAGATGGTGTTATTTTGCTGTAACTCGAGTTAAATAAATCCAATCGGGTTCCGCTAAATGGCTCTAGAAATATGACATTTGACATCTGACAGTTTTTTGATTGTTTTGATTCAGTTTTGTTGGGGCGTGCGTCAAATATGGACACTAGCAAAGAAAAAATACGCCATAGTTCGTAGTTTTTCTTCGATAAGAGCGAAAAAAGCCTGGCGGCTGAAAATGGGAATACCTTTATGGTCCTGTTACGGTCAATCATGCACAATTTCGGGTTCATACTGGTAATTTTGATGTAAAAGATGTTGATGAAGATGTTTCAAAGAGGGGAAGACCAATTGCCGACAATGTCGAAAAAATCATGGACACTGTCGAGTCTGCCGGTCATGTAAGCACTGTTTCGATTGTTCAAGAGCCAAAGATTGTGAAAAAATCGTTTGGAATCATTTTAATAAGACTTGATGAGAAAAGATAAAATTGAAACCATTCAATTTTATGCAAAAATAATGGATCTCTTTTTACTGCATCTTATTTATAATACCTGAACAATTGGAGCTAAACGTTACAGTCCTTTCTGTTTCGATTGTTTTCAGTGACAGAGGTAGCTATGTGTTTAGAATACATAATATCATGCCCTTAGATGGTTTTTTGACGGATTTTTTCTTACCCAAAACCTCATACCTGAATAAATCGGTCGTATGAAGGCTATATAAAATCTGACCGCTTTCGACAAATGATTTTTTAAATGTACTAGTACCTCAAAAGTTGAGTGACTAGTTTGCGTTCATGCAGACAGATGATATTGTGATCATATTGGCATACATCTTTATGGGTCTATCTATTCTCTTTCTGATACTTACATACTTCGGATAAAAGTTAATACGATGTTTTAAAATCCGCTTGCTTTCACTTTTATTCCTATCATTCTCTTCATAAATTAAATATTACATATTACTGTGGAATAATGTTCCCTTAAAGCAAACTAATTTGAAGAAACATAAAAGTGCCTCGTTCCTAACGTTATTTTCAATAAGAATTTAACTAATGTACTCTTATGTGAAGTTATTATTTCATGTCAGAAATATCCTCGGAAGCGTTAGCACCACTTGCCAATGCGGTGGCAGTTGAAAAAACTTTGTCTGCTTCCCACTGCAATTATTGAATGGTTTAAGCTTTCATTGTAGGGTTTCATGAGTATTCACAAAGCTCTTAGTAATTTAAGAACTGTCAATAATAAAATGATAGAATAAATTAATTAAAGATATTTGGTTCCTCGAGTGGGTTAGC